GAACACAGGAGGGAGTGGGAAATGCAGTCTTGTTTGGGGCACCCAACCCTCCCCCTGGCCTGGGGAGGCCCCAAGGGAAGATGGGGACAGAACAAGGGAAGAGACCCAGAGCTTGGGGTCTGTTTGCTAACAGTGCTGGCTTTGCCCCCCACCATGGAGCGACAGGATGGGGTGGGGCTGTGAGGGGGGTGGGGGACCAGGCTAGGGATGTGGAGGGGCACCCCCACGCCCAGGAGGTGAGAGAATTCTCTCCTGGGCACTTTTAGTGGGAGCAGGCGGGGGAGTCAGGGCTGGGTCAGAGCTTACCCAGTGGCTCTTCTCACCAGGCTCTCCCTTGGGGCCAGGATCTCCCTGCAAGGAGGAGCCAGAGACAGAAGTAAGCATGCACCACACACACACACACACACACACACACACACACACACACACACGGGGGAGGGGAGAATAGAAGAACGGGCGAGAATGATAAAAAGGGTAACTAAGAAGCAGCTCCTTGTACAGCCTTTAAAATTTTTTTTTCCTATGGCTGGCACTGGTGGCTCACACCTGTAACCCTAGCTATTCAGGAACTGATCTGAGGATCAGTTCCAAGCCAGCCCAGGTAGAAAAGTCTCTGAAAGACTTTTTTTGTTGGTTGTGGGGCTTGAACTTTGGTCCTGGGCGCTGTCCCTCAGCTTTTCAGCTCAAGGAGAGCGCTCTACCACGTGAGTCACAGTGCCACTTCCAGTTTTCTGGTGGTTATTTGGAGATAAGACCCTCCTGGACTTTCCTGCCCAGGCTGGCTTTGAACTATAACCCTCAGATCTCAGCCTCCAGAGTACCTAGGATTATAGGCATGAACTGGCACCTGGCTTTTTTTTTTTTTAAATCAGTTGTAGGGCTCGAACTCCGGGCTTGGGAGCAGTCCCTGAGCTCTCCTGCTCAAGGCTAGCACTCTACCACTTGAGCCACAGCACCACTTCCAGTTTTCTGGTGGATAATTGGAGATAAGAGTCTCACAAATGTTCCTGCACTAGCTGGCTTTGAACTGTGATCCTCAGATCTCAGTCTCCTCCTGATTACAGGTGTGACAGGTGTGAGCCACTGGTGTCCAGCTCCTTAGAGACTCTTATCTCCAATTAGCCACCAGAAAACCAGAAGTGGTGCTGTGGCTCAAATTCTAGAGCACTACTAGCCTTGAGCTGAAGAACTCAGGGACAGTGCCCAGGCCCAGAGCTCAAGCTCCATAACTGATAGAAAAAAAAAATTGGGGGGGGGGTTTGGGAATGTGGCTTAGTGGTAGAGTGCTTCATACATGAAGCCCTGGGTTCAATTCCTCAGTACCACATACACAGAAAAGGCCGGAAGTGGTGCTGTGGCTCAAGTGGTAGAGTGCTAGCCTTGAGCAAAAGCAGATCAGGGACAGCGCCCAGGCCTTGAGTGCGAGCAGAGGACTGGCAGAAAACATTTGTTGTTGTTTTGTCTCAGTACTCGGGCTTGCACTCAGGGCCTGGGCTCTGTCCCTCAGCTTTTTTGCTCAAGACTGGCATTCAACCATTTAAGCCATAGCTCTGCTTCCAGTTTTTTGGTGGTTAATAGGAGCTAAGAGTCTCATGGACTTCCTTGCCCAGCCTGGCTCAGATCTCAGCCTCCTGAGTAGCTAGGATCACAGGTATGAGCCTCTGGTGCCTGGCACTTATACAACCATTTGAAGTTTAGCATATTAAATTTAAAAAATGGGAAATAAAGAGGAGGGAGAGGAGGAGAAATGAAGAAAGGAGAAGAAAGAGAAGAAGGATTTATTAAAAAGAACTAGAAGAAATGGAAACAAGAGGTTTTATATTTATTTTGCTTCTTTTTTTTCCTTCTCCTTTGTGGCTGTTTTTTATTTCTGTACCTCTTTCTTTGTATGTAAGTTTATGTTTTGGGGAGGGTAAGGGAGAACACAGAAATGGTGAGACAAATGGTGAACTAATTCAGCAGTGATACTCCCTAGACACTATGTTGAAAATGAATTATACAACTTGTGGGGTGAGGGAGCTAGGAGAGAAAAACTTGGAGCAAACAAGGGAAGAGCTGGGCACTGGTGGCTCACAACTATAATCCTAGGTACTCAGGAGGTTGAGATCTGAGGATCAGGGTTCAAAGCCAACCTGGGCAGGAAAGCCCATGAGACTCTAGCCTCCAATTAATCACCAGAAAACCAGAAGTGGTGCTGTGGCTCAAAGTGATAAAGTGCTAGCCTTGAGCAAAAGAGCTCAGAACAGCGGTCCTGAGGTCAAGCCTCACAATGGATTTAAACAAAAAAAGAAAAGAAAAAAGAAGGAAAGAGGTGACACCGTTCAAAAAGAAATGTACTCTTTCCTTGACATGTAACTGTAACCCCTTTGTACATCACCTATACAATAACAATTTTTTAATAGAGGAAGAAGGGAAGGAAGAAGAAGGGAATAAGGAGAGAAGAAAGAGAAGAAAGTCTTAGAGCAACAGTAGTCTTAGAGAGCTATGGGACCATAGCTCAATGTCAGAGCACTTGCCCATCATGCATGAGATCCTGGTCTCATTCCCAGCTCTGCAATAAGGTAGAGAGACAGACAGGGAGAGGGAGAGGGAGAGAGGGAGAGAGGGAGAAAGAGAGAGAGAGAGAGAGAGAGAGAGAGAGAAAGCTTGTATAGTACTAACATTGCATAAAAAGCATAGCAAAATAGCTGGGCAGCGCCAGAGGCTCACACCTGTAATCCTAGCTACTAAGGAGGCTGAGATTTGAGGATCATGGATCAAAACCAGCCCAGCCCAGGGAGGAAAGTCCATGAGACTCTGTGGCTCAAGTGGTAGAGTGCTCTCCTTGAGCTGAAGAGCTCAGGGACAGCAACCAGGCCCATAGTTCAAACCCCACAACAACAACAACAACAAAAGCAAAGCAAAACAAAACAAGAAATGGTTGAAGGCAAAAGAAAGTGGGGTGGTGGGGTAGGGGGGCTGGGAAGGTGGCTCAGTGGTACAGTGCTATGCCTTGCATGCATGAGGCCCTGGGTTCGATTCCTCAGCACCACATAAGCAGAAAAAGCCGGAAGTGGTGTTGTGGCTCAAGTGGTAGAGCGCTAAGCTTTGAGTTGAAGAGCTGAGGGACAGCGCCCAAGCCCAGAGTTCAGGTCCCATGACCAACCAAAAAAAAAAAAGAAAGAAAGAAAGAAAGAAGTGGGGGGCGGGGAAGGAAAGAAAGAAGGAAGGAAAGAAAGAAAGAGGGGAAGAACAGGCAGAACTGGAGAATATTCTACCCGGGCGTGTGTGTAGTTTTCATTGAGAAGGTGCTGCCTGGCAAAATCCCACATCAAAGCAGAAAGTTTCAGTTACTAGTCAGAGGAGTCAGAGGTGGAGATGAGACCTTCCAGAAGGGGGAAACTGAGGGACAACCCTGGAAAGCAGCACACCCAAAAAGGGGTGGATTCAAATTGGGTAAATATTCCCTCTAATTCCTGGATGGCCATCCCCACCGGACAGGAGACAGTTTGGAACTCTTATAGGTCTCTATGAAAGGCCTTGCCTTAGGAATGAAAACTATAGCCCAGGGCTAGTGAGTTTTCACCCAATGGACTTTCTCTGATAAAACCTAAAATCAAGATTCCAAAAGAAAAAGATGAGCTGGGGGCCAGTGGTTCACATCTATAATCCTAGCTACTCAGGTGGCTGAGATCTGAGGATCATGGAGCCAAGCCAGCCATGAGATTCCTTACTTCCAATTAATTACCAAAAAAGCCAGAATTAGAGCTGTGGGTTAAGTTGGCAGTGTCAGCCTTGAGCAAAAAATGCACCCAGACCATGAGTTCAAGCCTCAGGACCAGCACACACACACACACACACACACACACACACACACACACACACACACAGAGAACCATATCAATAATTGTGCACATCCTTATGTGCAAATGATGGTCACACTAGTGGAAAAAAGCAAGACTCAAATTATATGTTGTTTACAAGAACGCACAAAAAATATAAAGCAAAGCCAGGCTGAAGGAAAAAAAATAATTAAAAACAAAAGGATATCATAAGTGTAAGCACCAAGCATTAGAATACTGCTGTGACTACTTTCTTTCTTTCTTTTTTTTTTTTAATTTATTTTTAAATGATTTTTGTTGGTTGTGGGGCCTGAACTCTGGGCCTGGGCGCTGTCCCTCAGCTCTTCAGCTCAAGGCTAG